ATGTTTATTGAAAATTAACAAATATCCACCCTTTTTTGTCCAAACATTCGTTTTTAATATTATTTTCTTAAAGGAGCCCAACATATCTGCTTTCAAATGAATACACTCTTCTGTCTAGCACAAAGATAACGTTAACCCCTTACACTATACAATCGATCAACCTGGCACAAAGATAACGTTAATCCCTTACACAGTACAATCGATCAACCTGGTACAAAGATAACGTTAATCCCTTACACAGTACAATCGATCAACCTGGTACAAAGATAACGTTAATCCCTTACACAGTACAATCGATCAACGTTAATCCCTTACACTATACAATCAATCAACCCAATATATTGTATTTCTAGAAAGTTTCAAAGTTGTTATTAAAACAACCATAAATAAAAAAAGTCACTTAGATACTTCATTAGAGAATGGAGCTTCTTAAAAAAAGTATAACATTTTAAAACAATCAGTTTTAATAGTTGGCCCTCCAGACTGTCTCGTGAAACCATGAAGAAAACCCAACAATTTTCTTTTATCAAGCAAGTTACTCTACAACAGATCGTTTATCAGAAAATAAAAAATAATGAAAGAACATTAATTGATTAATCTAATTTCAATACTAGTATAAAATTTGAAAAATCATTAACTTTCATGAAAAATATAAAAAAGTGGTTAATCTTTACGTTTTAAAAAACAAGATAATGTTTTCTACAGCTTGTAAAACTACAAGATAAGATCCTTAATCATAAAAAAACTTCAATACACACTATTGGAACCAATTCAAAGCACATGCAAAAACACTGCTACATCGGCACATGCCTAAACAGATATGTAACACTTTCTCCATTGTGAGTGCGGCGAATAGCTTCAGCCAGGATCGTTGACACATCAATGCACTGAAAAAAATACAAAAAAAGAATAAATCTGCAATCAAGTTTGACTGGAAAAATAATCATTTTTATTACAAGATTTAAACATTACTCCAGTGATATAAAATGGAGAAGAAGTATTTCTTTTACAAACATACTTATCTCTGCAAGTGTTAATTTATTAGTTAATTCCTAACACATCATCATCTAAAATTATGTTCACTCACATATAAGCTAAAAAGAGAAATGTCTCTATTACTTTATACAGTATAATATGTTCTAAATAGGTCAAGGTGGAAGTGTTCAGGATGTAAGGAATGACCACTTGGTCGAGGTAGAAGTGTCTAGGATGTAAGGAACGGTTGTTGGTTGAGGTGGAAGTGTCTAGGATGTAAGGAATGACCACTGGTCGAGGTGGAAGTGCCCGGGACAAAAGGAACAGTTGTTGGTTGAGGTGGAAGTGTTCAGGATGTAAGGAATGACCACTGGTCAAGGTAGAAGTGTCTAGGATGTAAGGAACGGTTGTTGGTTGAGGTGGAAGTGTCTAGGATGTAAGAAATGACCACTGGTGATGGTGGAAGTGCCTGGGATGTAAGGAATGACCACTGGTCGAGGTAGAAGTGTCTAGGATGTAAGGAACGGTTGTTGGTTGAGGTGGAAGTGTCTAGGATGTAAGGAATGACCACCGGTCAAGGTGGAAGTGTCCGGGACATAAGGAACGGTTGTTGGTTGAGGTGGAAGTGTCTAGGATGTAAGCAAGAGCTACAGCAAACCCATCAAGGAAAGAATGAGAATTGCCAACACAAGTCCTCACATTTTGAAATAACGGATACCTTATACACCAAGCTATATAAATATTACAGTAACCAATCAACATGGCTATATATTGGAGAGTAATAAAGGACAGACTGAGCAATATTTCAGAACCAAACACTGATAAACTTATGGTAACATAAAAAAAGAGTTACTTCTGTTTAAAGCAAACACAAAATACTAGTGATTGTTCAAATTGGTTGCTTTTCTTTTGTATTTTCTATAATGATAAACTGACCATTTAGTTACAGTTACTCATTTTTTTGTGACTCCTATATGTGCATATCCATAATTAATACTGTATATACTAGACCTTTGTACCTGGCAAAGCATTTTTTTTATTCATAAAGGCTTTAAGTTTGTTCATTTATTTTGTTCTTAATTACAAAGCTACAGAATTAGTTTTCTGTGCTGTGCCCACTACAAGGATCGACCTTGAAACCATAATCATAGCAAGTATCTACAAGTGATGCTGATTTATCCTTAAAACCTTTGGAATCAGGTAAATACCTGAATCTTAGGGGATTCTTTCATGTGCTGGTCTTGAGGTATTGTGTTGGTGACAACAACGGCCTCAAAGCAAGCATTGTTGATTCGAGAGATAGCAGGTCCAGAGAAAATTCCATGAGTGAGAATGGCATAAACTTTACTTGCCCCTGCTTGCATTAACCTGTTAAACAAAAAAGTATTTGAAATATCTTAAACAGTGATAAAAATCGTTACTATAGTAAAATGTGATTTTAGGCCTAATAATGACATTTACATGTACTTAAATATGTGAAAAATATTCTGTGTACTATGAGCTTAAAGTACTGACTGTATAAGAAAGCTCAGCTTTGACAAACATTATAACTCTCACTTTCCAGATTACAGTTCATAAGTTTTATTTATTTATACTTAAGTAAAGTATAGCTAAACGCACCACACAAACATTTCAATACAGCCTTTTAAACGCACCACACAAACATTTCAATACAGCCTTTTAAACGCACCACACAAACATTTCAATACAGCCTTTTAAACGCACCACACAAACATTTCAATACA